ATAACAATACTGCTACTAATCCTCGGCAGAGTTCTGGATATTTTGGATTTTGGTATCGAGCTATTTAAAAAAAAATAAAACCATATTTAATTTAATATACATAGAAAATAACCCAATATTAATAAAAAAAAATTATAATTTCAAATAAACTCTACATATGTTTATACTTAAAATTTGTAAACTAGGTATATAAACAGATATTCAGTTACCAGTATTTAAAAGTTCTAAAGACATGAGTTCATCCAAATCATACATATCTGAAAGAATAAGCACTTCTTCGGCCATATCTTTGGGTAATGCCAACATTTCAAATTTTTGAATTGGCTTCCCATCAGTCAAAACTTTCATTATTTGTTCTCGACTTTTGACATTTTTTGGCTAAAATTATTTGTTTTAACTTAAAAATGTACAATTAAAATCTTTTAATAAAAACTTACTGGATTCTTAAATACATTCAAAAAATGTGGTTTAGCAGCACGTAAAATACGTTTTAAAAATGCTACATTGGGCCTTTCATTTGTAAAAATATTCTCTAATACAGGTAATAACTCTGTATATGGTGACCATGAACTTTGCAACAATTCAGCTAAAAAAATTAGATAAATGTTATTATATACAATATACAAGAGTATTCAGTTCAATTTAAAATATCTAATAATGATTATCATAGTTAATAACAAAAGGAAACAAATGAAATGGTAAACTAAATAAATTAGAACTCTGCTATTTTATATAAAAATCTAAATTACTTACACTCCATGCTTTAGAATTTAGATGGCTATAAAAATGTAAGCAGTTTCTGCAGTTAAATAATCTAACGGTTTATTTTTAACCAATACTCAAAACGGATGCACAGAACACTCATTTCATATTAAGACTTATAAAATACATATATAGCACATAACATACATTAATATATAATATAAGTAATGTAATAAAATGAAAACAAAAAAATGTATACGGCTAAACTATACAATTATTTTTGAGGTTATGGCGGTTAATTTTCTATCAATATCGTTATCAGTCATGGTATCACTTTATTACAGATCTTCGGACCTATTCTATGTGACTGTCGATCATGCCGCAGAATGAAAATAAATATTCTGTGACTATACCATGATTAAGATTTAAGATAGCACATACTATCCCATATCCGACTATCGTAATATCAGTACTATTGTATTATTGTAATTATTACTATTTACTATTGTATTTCAACTATTTTCTATTCTCGTCTTTGATCGTTACCATAGATCACGATTTTAAATTGTGTGTTTACTATTTACGCGTGCGGCGTATCACCGTGCAGCGTTCGGTGTAACCATAAAAATAAATGATAGTAAAAATTGATTAATTTTTTAAATTGTATAGTACATTTTTTATATTAAAAATTAAAATATTTTGAATTAAGATTAACATGTCATCTGATTATTGTCGTATTTGTACATGTATTTTGCGTGATTACTTTGGTCAAGATGTTTCTGAAATTGCAAAACCTTTACAATGGGGCCAGAAATCTCTGATGACTTTGTATACCATGTTGGATGGAAAATATCCTCGGCACTTGATACAGGAAACTTTAATTGTGTTATTGCAATTCAATTTTGTATCGGCAATTTGTAATGTTCACTCAGTACAAATAGAATATAAATTGAATATGGAAAATATTCTAATGATTTTAAGGTACCCAAAATATTTATCAATTATTAAGAGAAAATTTGGTAATCAATACAAAGAACTTGTTGAAACTTTACTTTGTCTTGGTCGTGCTTCTTTATCAAAAATTGTAAGTGAATGTATTAAATTACAAAATAAGACTGATGATTTGTACAATAACTATTGGGATAAAGCTATTGAATTAATAAGAAATGAATATTTTAAAAGAACACCCACTTATGTTGTTTGGACTGAAGTTAAGCAAAATAAATTATTTATACCACCAACAAAAAATCAAAAAGGTGAGAAAAAAATTTTGTTTACTCTCAATTTTAATAAGTTTCATCAAGACATGAGAAATAAAATCATCATAGATGCTGTTGTTAGAACATTTGATGATACAATTGTAGGAGAAGTAATGTCTACAATATTAAGTCAATGTGCTGACAGTAGTGCACCAGTTTCAAACCCTATTTCATTGCAATTAATTAGAAGTAATTTATCTGTTGGTCATAATTATTTATTAGAATATATAACAATGATTGAAGAAGATCCTACTAAATTTTTATCTAAATCTTATGGTACAATGTGTAACATAACTGTTAATTTTAAACAAATAATAAATTGTTTAAATGATTCAATTATGGACCAAGTAGTAAGCTATAAGTTTGGTGAGAGTTCTGCTAGGTTATTTAGAGCGACTAGAAGCAACAAACTTTTAGAACTTGAACGTCTCCAACAAACTGCTTTAATACCAGACCGTGAAACAAAAACATTAACATCTGAACTATTTATGAACAATTATCTCCAAGTTCAAGAATTAAGAAAACCAAATACTCGTTTAGGTCGAAATGATGGAAAATCTTTTTATTTATACCATTTAAATGAACGTCAACTACATCAAGAATTAACAGAAGAAATATTAAAAATGATTGGGAATTGCATGATGTGGAAGTTTAAAACTTGTGAAGATAATAAGAGATTACTAAAAAATAAAGCTCGATTTGATGGTATGGTTCAAGGACTACAAGATAAACAGGAAGCAGACAAGGATTTTTTTGAAGAAGCTATGGACAATTTATTTTCCCCGAGTGAACGAATATTGCTTGACTCAATAAATAGACTGTTGCGCAAGTGTCAGCTAAATATTATGAGATTAGATGTATGTTTATTCTTATTTCATAATTATAAGCGTTACAATGAAACTGTTAAATAATTGTTTTTGGTTCTATAACTGTATTTTCATTATTGTAGATTATTTCTTTAGAACAATTTAATAAATTGATAATCTGCTACTTTAAATTTAAATTCTTAACTATTTTATTTTATTCCTAAATCAAGTTATATTCTAATTAGTGATTATTTATACAATTTTGGTTTATAGCGATCATAATATAATACATGTTAAAAAGTTAAATGTTGATAACATTTTTTTTTAATTTCTCAATAATTCAGTAAGTTAATCAAGGTAGACAGTAGATTATAGTTTATATTCTTATTTTATGTTGTTTAAAATTAATAACTATTAAATAACAATTTCTATGATAATTGAAAAAAACATAGTATATGACTAACGAAAGATATCACAGTTCCACAAACAAAATTAACTAACTTTGAAACAAAAATTGATTTCTAAATCTACAGGTCGATACACTTAACCAATTATTGAAAATTATCTGAATATGTATACTAAGAAAGTGTAACAATTTAATTTGTTATTTGAATATAGAATAATGAAAATCAGTCATTACCTAACAGCTAACCTATCTACAATCTACTGTGCTATGATGAATATAATGTAAATTGTAATGGATGTGAGATACTCAAACTTGATAACTTTTATAACTTGGAACATACCTAAAATAGATATTAAATATTAAATACATGGATAGAAGATCCCAAATCCTTATTACATAGATATTTAAATATTCAAAATTACGCGACTATGCGAGAGAAAATAGATTGTATGAGATCTACATAGGATGACTAGAATAATAAAAAAATTTATTCTACTAAAAAACAAATTTTTTTATGTCTGAGTACAATATAATGTATGTTAATTAAATTGTTATTAATGTATTTTGTTATATCAATTGTACTTTGAATTTGATTTAACTAATTTTAACAATTATTTTTTCATACTAAGTAATTTATTAATGGTTCAATATGTAGGTACCTATCAAATGTCCAAGCATAAAATAATTAATCAAGTTGACCGATGTAATAAATTAGTGAATAATAAAATTGTGGTAATACTTATTGCTATTGCTTATTGCTTGTCAATAACAAGTAACAATCACGGAACATGGCCAATTTTAATCTATAAATAGATCTGCTACACTAACCACGGTTTAGAAAATATCTTTTATAACGTCGTGCTTTAAACATAATAATTATTAAACGACAATTATTGTTGTATGCTGTATGGCAAAAATGGTAATGGCCAGTACCACAAAGCTTAAAGGTATTAAAATTAACTAATGCTAATGTGTATTGATGATTAACATTAAATTCCGATACAAATTGGAAGTCCCAAAAAAAATTTTTGGGATACAAGCCCAAATTTTAGAAGTTGGGACAATCCCGTAATCAGGCGCATACACAAAATAATATTTGGGAGAGGGGGTTTGGTTGTACATTTTCATACATGATATTATATACAAAATTCGTATTACGATGTTAATGCTGGCAGCTAAATAAAAATTAACTAATAAATAATAAAACTATTAATTCCTGAAAATCCGTGGGGGGGGGTGAACCCCTAAAACACTCCTTTGTATACGTACCTGCCCGTAATGAGATCTATAAATATTAAAATTTATAATTATATTTTTGAGCATTCGTTCTATTTGCTATAATTATTAACTTGTAGACTGAAATTTTTAACAAAAAACTGCGTGGCGAATGACAATACCTTTGATTTGTACTAAAAATATTATCCTCAACCTTTTTTTAAGATTTTTATATTTTGTTTTGATTTTTTCAAAGGTTCCACTCCAAATAATAATTAATGTATTTTTCGAAATATTTCATTACGCACAATTTACTATAAAATGTTAATTAAAATGTCATCATTTCATGTGATATATATCTATGTAGGTATATTTATGTCTCACAAATAAAATAAAATCTTATTTCGTTCTAGTAAAGTCAGTAAAGAGGATGGTTTGTTACTGTATCCCTTCTATAGTTCTCTATTTTCTATGAAATCATTCATATTTCATATTAATTTAGTGGAACGTGTCACACAACATTGTTATCTATAGAACTATTATCACAAATACAGAGTACCTACCTACTTTAACTAAATAGTATTTACTATTTACTGAATTTGAATATTGATGATGTATAATCTTAATAATCTTATTATTACTTAGATCTATTAATCATTAATCTGTCACGATGGTCAATGATTCTATCTTAAATATTATTTTGTGTATATATCAGTAATCACATATTCGATTAAATATCAATTTTATTCAATTTTTTAGTTTAATCAATTATCCATTTATTGGTTTAAAGAATTATATTAATTCAGAGATGTGAATAGTCTACGATGGATGACGACACAATTGATAAATTTACCAGTCAATGTATGAGTCTATTTTGTTTATTGTCATTAATTATTTCTATTTCATTATTGAAAATAATTTATATATTACTTATACTTTTCAACTTAAATAAAACTTGTTGAACTATAAATTAACATAAAAAAAAATCTTTTTTTCTAATTTTAATAAGTACTTATCTAGTATTAGTAAATCAAGACCTATAATGCTTTTATACATATTCTATATTTCTATGTAGTAACTATAAGATATACATAACTGTATTATAGTACAGGTTCATCAAAGTAATAAATCAAGATATTAATTTATTTTATTTTATTGACTTAGAATATTTTTTAATATTTAGAAATAAATTAATTTTCCAAAAGTAAAATAATTTTAACATTAGTCCAGATTTATCTTTTTATTACTTCTATAATATTAAGTGCTAAATGTTGCAACTATTGTATTCCCTTTTGGTTATATTGGTTTGAGGGTTGTTGATTTATCTTCATTATGGAAACAGTTATATTATTTCAGAATGAATCTTAGAGGATTTTGTTAGGCATTAATCAAATAGGCTTTTCACTTAACTAAATACTTTTATTGATTATACAAATTCACATGAGTTGGGTATGTAGAACAAAATAAAACTGCCGGTGATGTTTATTCAATATATTATTTTAGCGCCAATATGCCTCACGTTAAAATGCTTATTCTGCTTATTATGTTTATACTATAACCAGGGGTTCGTCACACAACTGAAGTCTAAAAATTATTTTCTCTAACTAAATTTTAAAAAATAAAATTTTTATAGCAAATTAAATAATGTAATGATTCCTACGTAATAGTTGATAATACTAACAATACCTACTAATTACAATGAAATTATATACTATTTCTTTGATTATATTTATATATATATATAATATATATATATATTTAAATGGTTTTAATTAAACCTTTTAAGCAATAACTGATTCAATAACTATTAATATTTACTTAAAAATGATTTTATCCATTAAGTCTACATTTTTTATGATGTACTTATTTATATTTTAACTATATATTATTTTAGCTGTGTATGATCATGATGGAAGTGAAAAGACACCACTTTATAACAAAAACAACAATGAAAAAGCTCTTCTTAAATTAATTGTAGCGTTTTGTATGGTATTTTGTGTTGGATTATTATTTATTTTATTAATTCACATTCATTATGGATCAAATCAGGTATAATAAATTTAAATGTGTATAGTAAAAAGTATAATTACATTTTTTTTTAATTTTAAAGTTAGTACCTCATGGAAATGTAGCAAGTGATAATGATCAATGCTCTCAATATGGAATTGATGTACTCAAAATGGGTGGTAATGCAGTTGATGCAGCAATTACTACTGCGTTATGTAACTCTGTAACACTACTTCATCTTTCAGGATTAGGAGGGTAAATAAAATGAAATATAATTTAAATATTATACAGTTATTTTAAAATAATCTAATTTTCTGTTTAGAAATGGTGTTATGGTGGTATACGATCATCGGACTGGAATAGGAAATACAATTGATTTTAGAGCTACACATAGTTCAAATAATATTATCGGAGTACCAGGTTTTATAGCAGGATTGTTTTATGCTAATGTAAAATATGGAATTCTTCCTTGGAAGACGCTAGTTGAACCTTCCATAAACCTAGCAAAGTAAGAAAAAAACAATTTGCAGATAATTGTATAAGTGTATTTATAAATATATTATTGTATTATTTTTAGGACGGGTATAACTGTTACAGAAAGTTTACTTGAGGCAATTAATCAGAATACCTCTAAATTAGTTGAAGATGAAAACCTTAAACATTGGTTATCCATAGTATCAAATAGTTCACTTGGTCAAATAGTTAAAGCACCAAATGGTCTTATAAAAACTCTTACTTTAATATCTTTACATGGACCTATTGGTAAGTAATAAAAATGGGATACTACATCAATAATACTGCTACTTTTGTATTATATGTATATTTGTAGCACTTTTTTATTTTAAATAGTTAACATGTTCTCATAGATAAATCATAAATGACAAATGGATAAATAAGTGATTATGTTAAACTTGGTACTGTTTTTTGTTCTATAAGGAATTAGATATGATGTGTAATATCTATGTAATAATTATTTATTTATAAACAATTTATGTACCAAGGTTATTGCTTTAATAATATATTTTATAAATGTGAAACAAAATTAATATTGATATGGTACCTATTATTTAAATATTTAAAAAAAAAAAAAATGTTTTATTTAAATATAATACATTGATTTTTTTTTTTTTTTAAGAATTTTATAAAGAAATGTCTAAAGAATTGGAGTTAATTTTAAAGCCAGATGATGTAATTAGCTACCAACCTCTTATTTTACCAGTATTAAAACAAAAATTTATGAATTATTGCATCATAACTTCAAATAAAGGTACTGGAGGACCAATTTTACAGAAAGTATTAAGTAAAATTAATAATACTAATACATATATTGAAGATTTATCATTATTAAATAGTTTTAAAGGTACAAAATTTGAAAGCTTATAATTTATTAATTATTTAATTAAACCCATGATTATTTTCAAAGATTTAGGAGATAATTGGGATCAAAATTACGGATTACAAGTTTCAACTACAGATGTTTTTGATCTTTATGTAACTATTATTAGGTATTATACTTACTACTTATATTACATAGAATATGTATTCAGATTTATTTTTTAATTTTTTTTTTAGCGGTCTTGGTTCTGTCTTTGGATCCCGCGTTTTAACTAATTCTGGTTATATACTGAACAATGCTTTGAATTTAAATCTCAAAGATAATATGCTAAATCAAACAGAACGAGTTAAATCATTACATTTGCCTATTATTGCTGTAGAAACAGGAAATGTATGCGGAAGAAGATTAATCTCAGGTGCTGCTGATGTACGTGATGGTACTCAATTACTTTTATCAATGTTAAAAACAGACCCACAAGACATATTAAATGTTAATACTATTCCTCGTTTTCGTTTAAAAAATAATGATGTTGGAATTGAATATCCAAATAATATAACTAAACAATTTTCAAAGTTATTGTTAAATTCTGGATTTAATTTATCTAAAGCAACTTTGCCATATCCTACTTCTAATATAATACAAAAAGAGGAAGATAGATCTATTGCCTTCTCGGATTCTCGTGGATCTGGTAAATCTTATACTTTATAGTATATAAAAATTAATTTCCTAAGTAAATGTTACAACATTATGTATATAATTTATTTTTTTAAACAATGAATTGTAATTTATGTTTTATACTTAGTATAAAATATAATTTTTTAAGTGAACTTATGTGTATAATAAATAATACATGATATGGAATATTTTTAATATTCTGTTATTCTACATCTTGTGGCTTTTTTATTGGAATATGTTTGAAATATAATTGATCATTAATAAGTATAGTGTGGGATCGCATAGGGAAATTACTTTTAAACATAAGTTTACCTGGTAAGACCAATATTATAATTGATAAATTTTATTTCATTGATATATTAGTATATGTTCACAAAAGTTTTTGCAATGGAACAATTACAACTGACAACAACATAATTAGTTTTAAGAAAATAAATTAAAATAATATTGTACAAGATTTAAATATGTTAAATATGAAAATAATTTATAATATTTATAAAACATAACTCATAAGTCATTTTATTTATTTATTTTTTGGACAAATTTCCCATTATAAATATACAGTAATTATTAATAATAATAAAAATAGTAAATATAAGTAATAATTAATTAATAAAAATATTGACAAGTTTAGTAAATAATTGGTAATGTATGAGAGCAAATAAAATAAAATAAAAACAATGTAGGTGTAGTAGGTGTATATAAAAAGATAGATATGACCAAGGCTTGGGACTTAATGCACATAAGATCATAAAAATATACACACACATATGCATAATAAAATATCAAAATATGTACTTAAATATGTGTTTATTTTTAATTAAAAAAAGATGTACATATACAAATTAAATTTAAAAAAATATATCTTATACATATAATATTAAAAAAAAGCCCAAACTGTTGAATGAGATGTATTTAAATTTGATCAACATTCAGCATTGATTATTGCTTTATTGGAATAATTGCAAACAAAATCATAAGATAAAATTAATTTAGAATGAACAATGTGTATTGTATCTACACATTTATTTTCTAAATAATATTTTTATAACGCATCAAAAAGGAAAATTTTACATTAAAAATTTTTATTTTCTTATAAATTAAATTAAAAAATTTATAAATATATAGAATATGTAATAAATAAGAATACATTTTTGCAATATACATGTGAAGAAAAAACCTAAAATATGTAAAAATATACAATAAAACTTTTTGAATTCGAAATCCTTAAATCTAAAAATAAATATGTAACAAATTTAATTTCTTCTATTTATTTCTCGAACAAATATTAAGATATGCAAATGCTTCAGTCCTGAGTCTTGGTTATATCTTTATACAAATGCACAATTAGGTATTGATATGTATACTCGTATATATTGTTTTTGTTTATTTAACAGAGGTAGCTCAATATACATAAGTTAATAATTTGTATATAGTAGTTAATAAACAATATAACTAAATGATGATAGTTCATAACATATTTTAATGTTTAAAGAGAGTAGATCTAAAAATAAATTACAATTTTTCAACTTTATTAAATTAATCATTTATACATTTTTATAACATTTTAGTTTTGAGTGTTTTGACTTAATATAATTGTGATTTATTTAATTATTTATTATAATTTATTTTATTGTTTATTTCTATCTATGTATTATATAGTTTTGTATTAATTCAATAAGGTAACAACTTTTAATTATTTATTTATATTATTTTCATTTATTTATTAATAAATAAATGTAAACATTATTAATTAAATGATGAACTTAAAATAATCTAAAGAAATATTAGTATAAACAATGGAACTCTGGTGCAACTCTATGTTGATACCACTGCTGAGTAATTATGTGTTAATAATTACTATAACTATTAAACTGCTAGAGAAATATTTTTTTTTCTATGGTAATATTCATGCGAATGAATTTATGGTAAATTGTATGAACTAGAATTTTAAATCATCATCATAAACCAGCTACAATCACTTAAATAAAACAAAAACCTTAGTCATCTAAAAAAAAATAATTTTTAATTTATTTTATAAAAAATAATATACTTATAATTATTTTTAAAATTAGTAATTAATTAATAAAACTTAACTTTATTAATCATTTAAATTATTGATCATAAATCAAAATATTAAATTACTTCGACGGTTTACTTTAGAATATTCGTCTAGTATAACATTAATGTCAAGATTATTAACAATATCTTTTTCGACTTTAGATATGTAGGTAAGTAATAAGAAATAACGAACAATTATTAAAACTATCTTGAATCTCGAGTTATAAATGTCTTAGTCCAGTTTTTGATACGGCAAATAGCTGAGAGAGGCGTTTACATGAATAATGAATACATGATGCAAAATTGATCGGTAGTGTCGAAGCTAATTAAAGTAAAGTATGAATATTAGACCTCCTGTGGGGTCGGAGATTAGAATAGACCTACAGTAACTCTTGCTTATCGTAGAAGGCGATTAAAAGGAGGTAGTGGAAGGCAGCAGCCAGCAGTAATCAGCAACCGCTATTACTAAGTACCTACTGACCATTGGTGAGTTTTGCAGTAGAACTTACGACAATGGAAGGATTTGACGGAGGCAATTTGGGCATGTTCCAAATACTGGCCTGTCAAATGCGATGTGGAAGGAGAAGCATACCACCACATAAAAATTTCTAGTAAGCAGTATGAACCAATGTTATGAAGAGATGGAAGTTACTAGGCCAGATAAATTCGGAAATATTGATGATTTTTGATGCAGGTCTAGCAAATAATAAAGAGCTGAAGTCTGAAGAGATTAACTGAGTGGAGAATTTCTCCAAATTGCGAAACCTCAAACAAACCTTAGGGTTGATTACAAAAAAAAAAAAAAAAAAAAATGAATATTAGGATACATTTCTTTTGAAATAATTTTTTTTTTAACTAAAATATGGGTAGGCACAGTTTCGTATTACAGTCATTTCACAGCGTAGGTAATACTCCTGTATCAATAAAAAACAATGTGTCATAAAATAAAATGATAATTACTATTAAAAATATGTTAAATAATAATTATTTTCTAATATATTTATATTTATGTTTAAAAAAATGAAATATAAAATAAAGTTAAGTACTTCAAAATAAATACCTAGCATAAACACACAATTTATATTATAACTTATATTACAATATTTTATTATAAACACCATCAGAAATCATTAGTAAATACGATTAATGAGTAACAAGTATCTAACTAGTATCTAACAAGTAAATACTAAATAGTAATGAGTAAGTACATGTACATTCGTACAGTGTATCACTCGTATAGTCGTATACCATTGCCATATCGTTATATGCCTCGAAAAGGCTAGGTGCATAATATAAGTTATAACAGATATTTTTCAGTTATCGATTTCCAAACTGTCAAACGAGTAAATATTGACACCTGCGGTGAAAGCTTATTCAATTCTCTTTTTGTTGACCACGATAAAAAGTAATGCACAAAAAGATAATTTAACAAGACACCATAGGATTAACAATTTATAACTCTAAGGTTAGTTTTCTCTCAAACAACTGACCGCGATAACGAATACTGTAAGAGAAAATAAGTATTAGTCAGTGTCTTGCTAGTTACTACCTTTTAAAAATGCCTTTTCCCACTGCAAACGCTTAAGTGTATAGTTACGCTCCCACGAGATGCTCCAAGAAAAAGTATAAAAATATTTAAAAAGTAAAACAGGTAACTTTTGGTTAAAACAAACTAAAGTATAATAAAATCTCGGAATTTAAAAAAATACCAGTCGTTAATCACGATCCACGACACTTCACCACTGTTAAACTGTTCCAATCTCGCCATTACCATCACCTTAATCGTCATGAAAATTTAGTTGATTTCTGCCTCATTCAAAATAAAAATTTTGAATAATTTTAATATATATATTTTTTAACTATATAATAATATATACAACAGCCAGACTCAACCAGTCTACCAGCATAATCATCCGGACTATTGGAATACTGGGAGATTTTCCAGTGGAGTAGTACCTACTGGCTACTGCCTAATATAAGTTGATAAATGAAAAATACAAATTTTGGATACGTTTGTGTAAAATATATTTTTTTTTATTATTAAATCGCATGAAAAATATGTACAAGCTGAACGATGAAGTTATTAACAATTTAAATATAAGTGAACATAAAAAAAACTTTTATTTTAATTTAACGATACTTATAATAAATTAGCTAAAAATACAATTTGTCACATAAGTTATATGCTCAATATTATGATTTTTATTGATAATACGAAAGATAGAAGATGAAAAAAGGTGGGATTTTTTAATACTTTTTTAGTTTATAAATAAGAGACAACACATGCTAGTATAATGTACTCAGTACCCTTAAGTAACATGTGGTAACTAAAAAGGAATAGTCAATCAACAAATCATAATAAAAAAAGAACATAAAATTCTATTTAAACTATATACCTAATAATAAGTTTAGTAAGTACCTTTTAAATAACAAGAAAATGTATTTAGTGTAAAAAGCAAATCAAAACCGGTCCTCTTAATATTATAGTATTAACAATATTAACCAATCATTAATAGCCAATTCATAGTTATGGGCTCCCATCATCAATGAAAACAATTCTTTAAAATTATAAAAGTATATTATACTTTTATACTTTTTGATTATATTATAATTAAATAAATTAAAACCTTTTAATTTAAGCGTGTTAATGAGGATAAAAACATTAAAACACATTATTTTTTATTATAATACAAATCCACAAATAAAATGAAGTATTTTATGCAAGTCTTTTTTTTTTTTTTTGCTTTTTGTGTATGCTTCTTAAGTTTTTTCAAAGTTTAGTTTTTGCAAACAATTTTTTTCTGTAGATAAAATCATTAATGATGACAAATTCTTCTGTGTTACCTAGTGAAGTTCTATTTTTAATTTTTTACTCTGGCCAACTTTGAAAATGCTCTATGCAGTACAATTAGCAACATGAATGGTAAGATAGGTGCATGTTTAGAGCAATATGTATGTAGTATACTAATATATTAGGGAAAATATTTGTATTGTTACATTCAGTCATCCATT